GCCGCTCCCAGGTGGTGCTTGCGAACCAGGGCCTAGCTGCCGGCTGCACCTGCGCGCCCCGGTGTGTGCGCAGAGCCTGGCCGAGCCCTCCCGCCTCCTGCACGCTCGGCCCCGGGGAGGCTACCGGCCCCAGCCGACTGTGGCCCATATGAGGGCTCCCCAGGCAGGGTCGTGCGTCGCGGCCCCGAGGGTCCCGTCCTGCCCACCGGCCTCTGTGCTCCAGAGTTTCCAGGAGCTGGCGGGGCGCTGCACCCATCGCTTGCCCAGTGGCAGCCTTGTTCCCGCCGCCAGGGGAAAGAGCTTGTAGGAGAGGAGCAGAGACAGCGGAGCCGGCTGGCCCGTCCCCGACCGAGCTGGCGGCTGGCTGGCCTTTCTCCGGGCTCGGCTTTTCTACCACGAAGGGAAGCCCCAGCCCCTCGGAGAGCCCGTCTGGGCCAGCACCTAAGGACTTGTGTCTGGAGCACTCGAGACAGGAAGCTACGGAGAGTGATGAGGGGGCACCCGTGCACCCTGGCAGGCTCCATCCACAAGCAGCACGGATGGGACCGAAGGGGCTGTCACAGCGGGCAATTGACAGGGGCTGGGCTCAGGGTCATTCTCAGCTAAGGCCCATGTAGCTGGAAACCAGTGTTGGAAACCAAGCCCTGTGGTGCAGGCCAGAGTTGGGGTGCTCAGCTCTCCAGGCACCTGAGGAGAGTGGACCAAAGGCCCTGCCTGCTGCCCTGTCCTGGTGTGACTTCTCAGCTAGTTAACTGAAGGGGCCTCTGGTTACGTTACAGGTTATCACTTCAATTGTCCACTAACTCGCTGCCATCGAGTTGATGCCAACTCATAGCAACCCTTTAGGACAGGAGGACTGCCCCGTAGGGTTTCAAAGGTCAATCTTGAAGAAAGCAGACTGCTTTCTCTTTCTCCTGGGGAGCAGCTGGTGGGCTCAAACTGCCAACCTTTAGGTTCAAATTGAATGCCTTACCCTCGGAGCCTCCAGACCTCCTTAACCTGCTGTCAGCTGGTCCCAATGTAACCGTGTGATGCTTCTGTTAATTTCCAGACCAAATACACACTGATCGATGAGCAGGACATCCCCCTGGTGGAAAGCTACTCCTTTGAGGTGAGGATGGCATCCTTTGTGGACTCTGCGTGCGTGTGAGGGGGGGGTGTGTGTGTCTGTACACGTCGTCTTCCTGCCCTGAGTATCCAGTTGGATTGTGAGTGGCTGGTGCTGGCTGTGGACCACTTGGGACCATTGCCTCCAACCTCTGGTGTCACAGAGTTCGATGGTTGCTGCCACCAGGGTCCACCGTGACCCTCCCTGCAGTTCCCACTGAGGCCGGACACTGGTCTCTCCCTAAGTCCATTCTGGCTACCAGCTCTTCCTGAAAAAGAAACCAAATCCCACCAATTTTGGAACTAAATGTGTCTGTTAAAGTTCCCTGCCTTGGTCCCGTGCTTCACGCCCTTATCACTCGGGGCCTTTCTGCCTCTTCCCCAGCGTCTCTACTCGCTGGACTCTTTCACCACGCCACTGATCTTCATCTGATGCTTGAAAGCTCCAGGAGCCCTGGGTACCGTGTGCTTTCTTGTCGGCATGTGGCCCGGCCGCAGTGATTGTTAGCCTGGGCTTTGTAAGGGCAGGGATACCTTGCTCCTTAGTGCTGTGCTAAGCTGTCAAGCATTCCCTGCTGGAAGACAGACAGCAGCTGTCTGGACTGAGTGGTGTCTGTGCACCTGGGGGCTCTCAGGCCCAGAGTCAGTGGGTAGTGCTGCTTCACCTTGTTCTGGGAGGAGTTTGAAAGGTTGCCGAGAGCCAGATGTTTCACGGACTCTCCCCTCATCCCTTCTTAGGCCCGGATGGAAGTAGATGCGGACGGAAATGGCGCCAAGATCTTCGCTTATGCCTTTGACAAGAACCGAGGCCGGGGCTCCGGGCGGCTGCTGCACGAGCTGCTGTGGTGGGTGCTTCCACAGCAGTCCTGGCCTCAGGCTGCATGGGCCGCATGGGCACAGGGTGCACAGAGGTGCTGAGCGGATGTTCTGTTGGGCTGGACTACCCTTGCTGCCCTCCTGCTATCTTGACGGAGCAGCCCCTTAACACCTTAGAGTCCTTGGGGTGCAGCCTGAAGGCTCCCAGCTCCCAGGGGACTTGCTGCCTTGGCCTGGGCTCTGGCAGGGCAGGTGCTGCCTCCTGGGTGTGTGCAGTGGCTGGTCCCACCCCAGGCTCTGGTCTGACTTTTCTATCCAGGACTGACAGGGCTGAGTCGTCCAGTCGTCTCTGTTCTGTCTGCCCCTTGCTCCCTCTCTAGAGCACCCCGCTGGGCTTCTGAGGCCAGTTCAGATCCTGAGGTTGGTTGTTCCTTCCAGCTGGTCGTTCACATGTAACCAGGAACATTTGTGAGGTGTGTTTACACGTGGGGCTGTCATAAAACCAGGTGCTGTCCTGGTACATGCCACGCCGTGGGGCTGTCACTCAGCCATGAAGCCAGGTGCCATCCTGGTACACACCACAGCGTGGCTGAACCTTGGAAACATTCAGTGAGAAGTAAGTTAGTCACAAAGGGATAAGTGTCACGTCATCCCATTTACGTGAAATGTCTGGTGTAGGCAGATCCAGACTGGCATCTGTGAGAAGTCACCAGGGTGAGGGGGAGTAAGTTGTCTGCCTGGAGGGCACAGTGTTCCTGTGGAGGCTGACAGGAAACACGTCATCGTGTGGGGAACTGACAGCCCCACACAATGGGCAGCCCAGTTAACATCACTGAACTACACGTGTGAAGACATGGAAACAGTGCTTGGTTACGTGTCTACTATGCACACGCCAAGAAGCATGTTTGCGAGGGGCTGCTCTTGATCTTTGTTCTGTAGGGAGCGGCACAGGGGCGGTGTCGCCCCTGGCTTCCAGGTTGTGCATCTCAATGCTGTGACCGTGGACAACCGTCTGGACAACTTGCAGCTGGTGGCCTGGGGCTGGCGGCCCAAGGCTGAGGAGCTCTCTAGCAAGCAGAGGTGGGTCTTCAGTGGCTGTGGCTGTGGGCCCTGCTTGTCAGGGTGTTCTCCAGGGCGAGGGGAGGATGGCAGGGGGCTGTCTGGGAGCAGGCTCTGGGAGCCTGCTTTGAACTGCTGTGATGAGTGGGGGGCATCAGGCTGCACATCTGCCTGTGGCAGGACTTCACCCACTCCACCCCTAGGAGGCTGTCTATTGGCCTGGTAGGGCATGGGTTGTGTGCTGAGCAGTGGGGGAGGATGTAGGGGCTCTGCCTGGCACGGGCCTTCCCCTCAGAGTCAGGGGCTCTCAGGCAGCCCAGATGTAGGCCTTGCAGAGCCCTGGGAAGGGCCGTTCAGTGTCTTGGCCATACTGGCTGGTGGCGGCTGTGGGAGGGATTTTGCAGTCAACCTCCTTTGGTGTCTGGTGAGCCCAGGCGTTGCAGGGCAGGATTGGTGAGCTCCAGGATAGCCTGGTGCAGTGGGGGGACTCCCAGGCTGTAGCTGCCCTATCTCCTCTCAGCCTCATCTGGGGCAGAGGGTGGGGTCGGCCATCCCATCCTCTAACCCCACCCTCTAAGTTCTGCCAGAACTTTTCTTGGCTCTAATACTAGTATTTTGACTCGAAGCCCCTTGTGCTGCTCTGGAGTGAAGCTGCCCTATGAAAAGTGAGGCTGTGTTAGTTCAGACTTCGGGCTGCAAGCGACCAAAGCTGTGCTCGGTTTGGCTGAAGTAGAACGTGGGCACTGCCTCGTCAAGGCTAAAGCACTGAGAGCCGCAGCTGGTGGTGGGTGCAGTGGGACCCCGGGGCGCTGGCCTCTTAGTCCTGGCAGCTGTCCCACTGCCTTCAGTGGGCACCCAGAGAGCAGAAGGTGGCTGCCCAGGAACAGCTGGGGAAGCCTGGCAGTGTCCTCATTAGCTATTCCACCCTCAGCTGGAGCTGGTGGCCTCTTACCATAGGACACAGGAGCAGTGTGTCTGCCCCGGCCTGTTGACCCAGCCACTCGCTAGAGGCCCGGGACGTCTGTCTCCTTCAGAATGTGTGGCTGTGTCCTAGGGCTGCTGACGGCTCATCCGTCTCAGAAGCCTACCAAGTGCAGGTCCTTGGTTTGGCAGCACTGGGCTTTGAAACCCCAGTCGTCCTCCCCCTTGTGCCAAGCGGCACTCATGGTGAGAGCTGACCTGACGGGGGCCCTGCAACCCCACACTGGCCTGGGTGTCACTCAGCTCTCAGCTCTGGGCCTCCATAGGGAGTCCTGGCCTTTCCCTACCCTGTTGTATCCTCCTTTCAGCCTGGGGTAGGAGCTCAGATAGCAGGGTCCCTGTCTGCCAAGGGGCGTCTTGCTGCCTTCAGAAGGCAGCAGTGGCAGAAGTGCATTTGCCAGCTCCCACACCTAAGCTCCCTCTTAACCAAATGGGGGGGCAGGTGGGCACTTCAGATTTAACCAGCTCCTCTGATGTCCCTGTGTGGCCTTGTGCCCATGGTGTCCCCTTTATACCCTGGTCCATCCGTCAGGCCTTTAGGTCATGCCTGTTACGCATTGAGCCATCCTCTGTATCAAATTCTTCAGTCCCAAGCATCTAATGCTTGCTTTGGGCTCTCAAGCAATGTGCTTTGGACAGGACTGCAGTACCACCAGGGTTGGGAGCAGGGAGGCCGGCTGCCAGAAGTGGCAACTCACTGGCCCACATTGAGTAGGTCTTCCCTGCCCATGATAGCACTGGGGGCTGGCCCGCTGTGCTGGTCCTAGGCTTTCGGGAGATTGCCGGGAGTGAGGTGGACTGTCCCTGTTTCCATGGCCCTTGTGTCATGTCTCAGTGGGAAGACACAGTAAACCAAAGGCCAAAGTCCCAGAGAGAAAGGGTCCCATGGGGGGACGAAGAACGGGGGCAGCGCAGGAGCAAGCCCCGGTGTGCGGGCTGCCGGGCATGCTGGGCGTCTGCTGTCTTGCAGGGAGCAGAGCTTGTACTGGCTGGCGATCCAGCAGCTGCCCACAGACCCGATCGAGGAGCAGTTCCCCGTCCTGAGTGTCACCCGCTACTACAACGCCAACGGGGACGTGGTGGAGGAGGAGGAGAATTCCTGCACCTACTACGAGTGCCACTACCCACCCTGTACCATGATCGAGAAGCAGGTGCGTCTGTCCCGCCGCCGTGGCTGCCGCCCGGCCCTCAAGCTGTCACTGGGGTGTTGGGTGGCTCTGCTGGCTGCTGGGCTGCAGCTTGCTCTGTCCCCGCAGCTCCGGGAGTTCAACATCTGTGGGCGGTGCCAGGTGGCCCGCTACTGTGGCTCCCAGTGCCAGCAGAAGGACTGGCCCGCCCACAAGAAGCACTGCCGGGAGAAGAAGCGTCCTTGCCAGCACGAGCTTGAGCCTGAGCGGTGACCGTGTGGCACAGGACCCGCCGCAGCCCGACCCTCGAGCACAGCGGACACGCACTGGTGGTTGGACCTGGCGGCTCCTCGCAGCCCCGTGACGCACCCACGGCCTCAGAGCCCGCGGCTGGCCGGCGCCCCTCACACGGCATCCCCAGAGCAGCTCCGGGGCCTGTGAAGGCCCGCCAGGACCTGCCCGTTATTTATATGTTGATACGTTTGTAAACTCATGTACAGTTTTTTTGGGGGGAGGCGGGAGGAGGGTTAGGAATCACAAATAGAATTGTTTGCTGTGACCTCAGACATTGGCTGTTGGGCCACGACTCTCAGACGGCCTCTGGGCGCCGCTTCCCTGCCAGGCGCCCAGAGCATCAGCAAGCAGAGGGTGAGCTGACTGCATGTCGCATTCACGGGCAGAGTAAAGGGGCGAATCACGAGTCTGGGCCGTGACTGCTCTCCCCGCCCCACGCTGCTGGGCTTTATTGTGGCGTGGACTCTGGGGGCACGTGGGGGCAGTTGCACAGTGGAGTGGGGTGGGAGGGCTGGCCTGCCTCTTATGCCCAAGTGGCTCCTGTTTAGCAGGGGAGCAGTCCAGGTCTGGTGAGGGTGGAGCAGATGGCTCACACTCTGGTATCTGTAAGTTTCCAGTGATCTGTGTGCAGGGTCGCGGGGCCACAGCAGTGGGGCTTCCACCCAGAAAGCCCATCCTGCTGGCCTGGTGAGGTGCTCATCTGAACTGGGTGACACAGTGATGCCCTCCACTGCCCAGGCTGCCTCCTGAGCCATCACTGTTGCTCCTGTCCCAAGGCCATGCCCTGGAGGTCCCTTTGCAGCCCTCCCCCTTCTGTTGCCTGCGCCCTTCCCACTGCTTCCCCTGCTGGGGTTAGTCCCAAGGCAGGGCTTCCTGGAGAATAGGGCTGGTAGGAACCCCGTGAAGGGCTGCGGGTTTAGCAGCCCCGTATGCTCATGAGGTTTTGTCCCTGACAAGCCTCCCTAGCCACTTTCCTAGATGATGGCTGCCTGAGACCCTCTAGAACCCTGGTTGAACCCAGAACAGGTGCCCAGAAAGCTATTAGGGTCTGCCTGGTTGTATGGCAGCACTTGGCTCAAGACTTCAGGCTGTTCCCAGGGTGGAGGTGACTTTCCAGCTTCCACTGGCTGGAAGGGGCTGGAGTTGGGGAGGTCTCTTGGGGTTCTGCTTTCAGGTAGTTCCTGGGAGGAGGTGGCACCCAGATTGTGCACTCTAGTCTCAGTCCCCATCCTTGGGGAACAGCCAGGTGGTACTTGAACCTCTGTGCCCCCCTGTGGGCCTTGGCAATTGTGACATCAGGGTCTCCTGTTGACTGGCTGCTGGCCTTGGCACCGTGTGGGGGATCTGGGCTGGAAATCCTGGGATCCTTGGTTAGTATCTGAAGAGGGATCCTGGGGAATCATTGTGCAATACAGGCTTGGGGCTGGTGCCGTCCAGCCCCTGAAGGTTGGGTGCACTAGTGCTTGGGGTGTCGTGGCCCGATCACTCTGCTTCCCACACAGCTGGTGGCACCCAGCTTCTCTGCCTCTTGAGCTCCTCCACAGCAGGCCAGTGTCCACGTTGCTTTTGCTGTGTGGACTGCTTGGCTTGTACATACTCTGTTCCTGGTAGAGACATTGGCTGAGGCCATTTCAGAAGTGGCTGTCATCTCAGGGTCCTGCTGTGGCATCTGCTTCAGCTGCTTCCTGAGCTGCTGGCTCAGTGTCTGATGACTCTGTATCTGTATGCGGTGACAGCCTTGCTCCAAAGCCAGCACCCTGCACTGAGGCATCTGCTGGATTTCAGTGTCAACCCGCTCGGAGCCTGCCTTCCCACACCTGGACTGTGGGCTACCCGCTTGGCGAACGGCCTCGGAGGCTGGTCTCCAAGGCAGAAGCTGCTGCAGTCCTGGTACTCCTCCAGCGCATCCTCCATCTTGGACCCCCGAGGCCTCTCAGCCCAGGTGTCTGCCGCCTTCAAGCCCTGAGCCACCATATCCTCACCCTCGGCTTCCTGTCTCAGCTCACCTGCACCGCGGCCAGGTGCTCCACCTCTGAGCCTGGTGCGGAGGCAGCCGCTCTGGGGTTGACTTAAAAAGGGGCAGGGACTGAACAGGCCCCTTCCCCGCCAACCTCCCAAGTTGGCTGTCCTAGAAATTCCCGTTCCTCCGGCAGGACCCAGCCCTGCGAGTCCACTACGGGTACTCGGCTGCCCCCTGCCAGTGGGCAAATGGCTGAGTGAGGGCAGTCACGCCCAGAGCGACACGTGGGGACCGCCTGCAGTTCCAGGCTGACCGCTGTGGGGCTCAGGGAGGCCCGCCCACCGACAGGGGGAGCTGGAGCTCAGCCTCGCGCCGCTGGGAGTCCCGGCCGGAAGTCCCGCCTGGCGTTCCGGAAGGAGTCTGCTGGGCGGTGTGGACGGAAGTGCCGGTGGCACCTGGCATGGCTTCGTCTTCTCGGTCCCGCCGCCCCGGTCCTGCCGCCCCAGCCGCGTCCGGGCGCTCGGCCCCTGATTCCTCCCCGGCTGACGGCTTCATGGTGGGAACCCGCGGGTGGCTGCTGCAGACGGTGGACACCGAGTACACGGCGGACTCGGTGGAGTGGTGCCCACTGGAAGGCTGCAGACACTTGCTGGCGTGCGGCACTTACCACCTGCGGAAGCCAGCGGACAAGCCCCGGGACCCGGAGAGCAAGGTGCGCTGGCCGTCGGAACCTCGGCGGTCGCGGCCGGGGGTCTCCGAGCGGCATTTGTCCGGGGGCTCATCTGGAGCCGTCTAGAAAAGGAAAGGCCCGGGGCCACGGGCTGACCACGCAGTCGCCCATCAGTGAAGGCGAGGAGAGACGGTGGGGAAGGTGGCCTCGTGGGCGGGCGTGTCTGGACGGCGGAGTACCCAGACGGGGCTCCCCTTGGAGCTCTGGAAGCCCGCTGGCGTCTGGGAGGATCCGAGCCTGGCACCCAGACCCTCGTCGGGTCTGCCTGGACGTGGCGGGTTGGCAGCTCCGCGCCGGGCCGTGCAGGGCGAGCTCCCCCGCCACCTTAGTCACGGGGGTCGGGAGGGGGCGCCCCTCCGGCCGGGGTCTCGGCAAGCTTTGGGGGGCCTGGCGCCCTTCCCTGTTACTTGGGTTCCCAGCATCCGGTAACGTCTTCGTTTGTTGAAGAGCGGAGCTGAGTTGGACGGGGAGCCGCCCGTCCGTGTAGGCCGTCTTTACCTGTATAGTCTCCGGGAGGACAGCCCTGCTTCCCCGCTGCTTGAAGTCCAAAGGAGAGACATGGCCGCAGTCTTGGACATGAAATGGTACAGCTCTGACAACAGCTGCATGGGGTCGGGCATTTGCCCTTATGGAGGGAAGTCGGCAAGACCAGAGGGACACTTGTCCTCAGGACCCTTTCCTCACTGCCCTGACACCTGCTGGCATCTGGGGTGCCTTGCCTGGGCTCGCTCCTGTCGGCACCGTTCCCTAGGTGGGGTCAGCCTGGGAGCCAGCTTCCGGCTGTGGACCTTTGCCTGCAAATCTGTAGGCTCTCTCCCAGTCTAGTGGCGTGGTGCCGGAGTCACCTGACTGCAAGCCAGAAAGCTGGCAGTTCGAACCCACCAGCCACTCCTGGGAAGGAAGGTTGGGCAATCTACTTTGCTAGTGACAGCCCCTCAGAAACCCAAGGAGGGGTCGCTATGAGTCAGGTCCATCTCCACAGCAGTGAGTCTGGTTTTTTCCTTCCAGTGTGGGGCTGAAATTGAAATGACATTGCTGGATGGTGGTGCTTTCCGCTCCCTGGGAATGTCCTGTGTTTTGAGATATGAGTTCTCTCCTCAGGTGCCACACCCCAGTGGCCGGCCACACCCTCTTGGGCTTGGCAGATGCTGGTGGATCCGTGCAGTTGTTCACATTGGTGGCCTCCGAGGTCAGTGACTGGGCCGGTTGGCGGCGGGGCCTGGTCTGGAGAAGGTGGCTGTGCTAGGTGGGGAGGCTGTGTCAGTGTTTTCTAGTTGTTTCTTTTTTGTAGTGATCTGTGTAAACCGTAAGGGAGCGGGGAGTCACTCTTGATGGGTCTGAGCTCTCGGATGAGGAAAAGCCTGGGCAGGCCAGGCCTGGGTGGATGCTGCGGAGATTAGCAGACCATCCACATGAAAACAGCATTTCCACTGACCACTGGGGAGCACTTCCTTTGTGGAAATCTCTACTGGGAGTTTGCAGGATGGCTGGGCTGATAAGGGAGTGGGGGGACGTAGGTTGATTCCCCCATGTCCTGAGTCTGTCTTTAAAATTAGGGTCTTGAACCCTTGGAGTAAACAGTAGTGTGTCAAAGCTGTATTAAAAAAATTAGGGTAACATGGTGGATCTTTCTGGAAGTTGGTTTTAGGTGACAGTATGATGTTTAAAAACATGAGTCAAATACCCAGTGAAGCTTCAGAGAAATGTAGGTTTGTGGCAGGCTGACAAGTTCACCCCGAGGTGAACTTGGCTGGGTGTGTCCATCCTGTGGTGCTCCTTGAGAACTTTTTGGGGAAAAACTGAGAAACATGATCCTAACCGAAACCAAACCAAATATGGGAAATGTTTTAAAGAAAAAAGTGGAGCGGTATTCTCCTGATGGATGGAGCCTCTTAGGTGTGGGTAGGGCTAAAACACCAAGTGGACTCTCCATGTTACAATGGGGAATGGGCTGGGAGGGAGAAGGCCTCTTGAGGGATGTCCAAGAAAGCCCCCCCGTGGTTGACAGTCCCAGAGGAAAAGTCTGTCACTCACCTTCACAACCCCTTTTGAGACCATATACCGGAGCAGATGCTCTTTAGGTATTCCCTGAAATGGACAGCCATCTGGGCTTTGGTTTTCCTCAGTGTCGAGAAAACTTTAAAAATTGTCAGGAAACCTGTAAGGAAAATGGGGAGCCCCAGACCAGAGCTCAGGGCAGGAGCGGGTAAACCCTGCTGATAGAGCAGTGACTGGGAGCCTGCTGACAGTTAGCACTGCCCAGGTGGGTTAGGCAGGAGCAGGTACACTTGTGATGGGCAGCCTGACCTGCGGGTCTTAGGAGAGTGGGACGGTGGTTTGATCTGAAACGGAACACTCGTGTCTTTGGAGACAAAACACACTGCTATCCCCTGGACAGGCCGTGGTCCCCTGGAGGTTCCTGGTGGCCAAACGTGGACTAGCCGTGGTGCCTATGGAGGCTCTGAGTGTGGACTGACTGTGGTCTGCCTTAGGCCTTGAGCATGGACCAGCCGTGGTCCCCCTCGGGCCCAGGGTGGGCAGGCATGGACTGGCCATGGCCTAGAGCTTGTCCAGCTGAGGGTGTATGGACTGCATGTTGGCCTGAAGAGTAGGCAGGCATTCTTTCCCCCAAGGTAATATGCTGGGAGACTTCTACAGGTTTGAACTTCCAAAACGTGCTCAAGTTCCGCTCAGTCAGGCAGATACTGGAACAATTGCATCGTCGCTCACAGTGCATTAGTAAGGGAGTCTTGAGTTCCTGGGGTTAGAGGGAAACCCTTGCAGGGCTCTGGGTGTTTCCCTGACAGAATCCCCTTTGCCCCAGTAGAAGAACGCCCACGCACTGCAGCCGCTCTCCAGCCTCGCTCTGGGGGAACAGTGTCTGGCCTTGTCCCTGGACTGGTCCACTGGGAAGACTGGCAGGTAGTGAGCTGGGGGGTGGGGGCAAGTCTTCCTCTGAGAACCCCTTTGTGTCTTCACGTCAGAGACACTGCCACCAGTACTGACCTAGGAAGGAAGGACCCCACTGTTCACACTGTTTTCATCAGGGGAACTGATGTGGAGTTCCCTTAACAAGCCACATGGTCAGTTTGGTCTTTGCAAGATACCCAAGCAAGCCTCTTAAGGAACAGTGTTTACAGTGTCTGGGGTGGGGAGCCAGAAGAGGGAAGGAGTTTGCCTCATGGTTTTCCCATTGACTTTGTGTGTATCTAGGGCCAGTGGCCAGCCTGTGAAAATCATCAGCAGTGATTCCCAGGGGCAGCTCCACCTGCTGGCGGTGAACAAGGAAAGGCCAGGGCTGCAGGCAGTGGACACGTGGCAGGCCCACCACTTCGAGGCCTGGATTGCGGCTTTCAACTACTGGCAGACAGAGACTGTGTACTCAGGTGGGCGCTGGCCCTTGCAGACAGCTCTGTGGGAGCCCTGCTTGGGAGGCAGCAGCTGCTATGCCAAGATGTGGGGCCTGGGAGCCCTCTTGTTGACAGTATGTGTACTGGGGCAAAGGTTACGATGCCTACTTAGTTCTCGATCTTAATACCAAGTTTAACTGCTCATATTTTCAAGTGTGGATTTCAAGTGGTGAATTTTACCTTATGTTCTCTATCAAGTCTAGATTTCCTGAGATAAGTGCTGTAATCTAGTTTCTGTCAAGGTGCTTTTGCTTGTTTTTTGTCAACAACAAGTTTTACTGGGTGCAGTTTTAGCCACTGCCGGTTTTCTTGTGTTATCTTTCCTTGCGTTACTACAATGTCCTGTAGTGCCACAAGATTTGAATTAGGAAGTTATGGCAGATGGTAGCTGACAGAGGAGGGAGAGTGGATGAGTGGTGCACAGATGGATGGCAGTGGCTAATAGATAATGGTGGAGCATAGATGATAGTGGATGGATGGTGGCGAAGGGGTGGACGGCGGGTAGAGGATGGATGGATGGTGGTGTAAGAGTGGCCATGTCTGCCCCTTTGCTCCTCCTCCCCCTCCCTAAAGGCCCACCTCACTGGCTGCTTTCTGCCCTTCCCCCAGGGTGCTCCCACCCACACTTCCCCTTGTTTTTCTACTAACACTTATGTGGATCGGGACCCTGTCTCTCCCTCCTTTCTACCCTTTCATTTTCACCAACACCATAACTGCTTACTGTAAGATTACAGAGGGCATCTTCCTAAGACACATACGGGAGTATGCTGAAGGTTCCAGAACCTTATGTCCTTCAGTCCATTGCTTCCCGTGTGCAGTTCCTGATGCAGTGCCAGGCCCTGCAGAAAAGCAGTGCAGTGCTGTCATTGTCATTTGAGAGGGACCTTCGGCCCCCCCCCCTTCTTGCAGCCCTTCCAGGCACAGCAGCTGTTGATCTGGGGCTCTCAGCTCTCTTGCAGCGGGACAGGCTGAGGATGCCCAGAGTCACTCCAGGGCCCCACTGCTGAGAGGCCATGTTCAGTCATCAGTGTTCTCCCGCCTCTACACAGGGGGCGACGATGGTCTCTTGAGGGGCTGGGACACCAGGAGACCACACCACACACCTGTGTTCACCAGCGAGAGGTAACTGACAGGGATGTCGTGGTGGGGCCGGCCAGTGGGTCCTTGGGCCAGCCTGCCTCACTGAGCAGCCCTGCCTGCAGGCACTCCATGGGTGTGTGTAGCATCCACAGCAGTCCCCACCGGGAGCACATCCTGGCCACAGGAAGGTGAGGCCCAGCCCGCTCATGGACCCTGTGCACCCTCCCGTCCTCAAACCAGAGCTGGAGGCACCTGGGTCCGGGAAAGGGCTTTGGGTTCTGGGTGCATCGTGCGAGGTAAGCCCCTGCCCCCTCACTGCCCTGAGCAAGCACTGTGGTGGCCCTTGCAGCTACGACGAACACGTCCTGCTTTGGGATGCACGCTGCATGCAGCAGCCATTTGCGGACACACCGGTGCAGGGTGGTGTGTGGAGGCTGAAGTGGCACCCTTCCCACCCCCACCTGCTGCTGGCAGCCTGCATGTACGGTGGCTTCAAGGTTCTCAACTGCCAGAAGGCCATGGGTGAGTGCTGCCCTCCACCCGGCCTGCCAGGTGTCTCCTGGGCACGGGGTGCACGTGGTGCTAGCTTGAGTCTGTCCCATGTTTTCACCTGGCCAGCTCCATGGTTCTGACCTGCTTGCGTGCCCTCCCCTAGTCCTTAGTCTGCCCGGTTTCATGTTCTCTTCACTCCTTAAGCCTCTGCCCCCTTCTCCTCCCTCTGGCTGCTGACCTCCCCCCACTGTGGTGCAGGAGTAACAAGCCCAGACCCAGACCCTTCTGAAGTCCTCCCTTGCCCCCTGGCTGTTCCTGGTTCAGCCCTTCTGCCATCCCAGCACACCCTCCTCTGTACCTGTACTCATCTCTCCTGGGCCTTTCTGGTGACAGGAGCATGTGGCCACGGTGTCCCCCAGACACCACAGCTCCTTGGGGATCTGTGTTCCCATTTTCTTTATATTCAGGGGTCTCCATTTCATCACTTCATTTCCTCTCCTTGTTCACTTGGGTGGTCAGGATTTCTTTCTCGACTCAGCCCTTTCATCTGTATCACGCTGTGGGGCTTCCTGCTGCCCTATGGTTCCTTATACTCCCCGATTTGTTCCAGAGGAGAAGCAGGGCACATGCACAGTCTTGGCGTCCCATGTTCCACAAAACTCGCTGACCTATGGAGCTGACTGGTCCTGGCTATCACTGCATACGCCAGCCCCGGCCCCTTCGGCATCCTTCCACCACAGCGACACGGGAGCCAGGCCGGCCGATTTGCTGCACAGCCTGAAGGCCCCAGGCACATCAGTGGTCACCTCGCCATATCACGTGGGGGATGATGATGGAGAGGGCCTTGTCTCCCAGACCAAGTCCCCACTCATCACAGACGAGGAGAGGAAGGGTGCCAGCCGACCGCACATCCCAGTGGGGAAGCCTTGTGACCGTGACCCCACCCTGGAAGGGACAAACTTGGACACCAACCTCCTAGCCACATGCTTGTTTTATGACCATGCACTTCACCTTTGGAGGTGGGAGGTGAGCTGAGCTGCGGAGGAGCTTGCTTGGTTGAACCCGTAAAGGCCCATTTCCAATAAAGCCCATGTGCCCCGTGCCTCAGGCCGCCTCACCTAGCGCTCTCTGTGGTCCCCATAGGCCTCAGTGCAGGTGTCTACTCACGCCCCTGCCATGTGCATGGACACAAAGGCAGCATCTGTGCCAGCCCTCCCCGTTGTGCCATCAGAGGTAGCTAGGATGAGCTCCCAGGCAGGAGGTGGCTTGCTCCCTCTCCAAGCCCTTGTTTTGCATGTGGATTTTGACTGGGAGCATTTAATGGGTATTTCAGCGACTGTTGATATTAATTCGGTGACATATTTTTAATGACGGTGTTACTTAACGTAAGTCACTGCCAGTGGACATTTAAGATCCCCTCCTGGGGCAGCAGAATGCTTCCAGACTCCCAAGCAGATGTGCAGAGTCAGGGAGCAGGACCCGCTCTCAACTGCCTTCCAAAAACAAAAACCAGACCCACTGCTGTTCGAGTCAGTTCCAATTCGGCGACAGGCTATACATCTTACAGAAGCAGTGTCTCATCTTCCTCCAGTGCAGCAGCTGGTAGCTTTGAAATGCCAACCTTTTTGTTAGCAGCCCAGTGCTTTGACTGCAGCACCACCAGAGTGCCGTTCAACTGGCTGAGGGCATCATGAGCGTGAAATCTGCAGCATAACAGTGGGGGACTTCGTAGCGACCCCCATTGGGTTTCCGAGGTGGTATATCTTTACAGAAGTAGGTTACCTACTGTTTCTTCTGTGGAGTGGCTGGTGGGTTTGAACCACCAAGCTCCTGGTTAGTAGCCAAATGCCTTAGGCACTATGTCACCAGAGCTGCTTATGGGGAATAAACCGATGAGATCCCAAATCCTGGCACATAGTGGGTGTGCACCAGGTGTGTTTGGCATTTTCCCCCAGGAGGTTCTCTAGCTGATTTACTCACTGTTGTCAGGTCCTCTTCCCCCTACTAATGGTGACAGGTGTTCAGAGGCAGAAATCCCTTCTTCCCCGTATTTCTGATCATCCAGAGCAGCGTGCCAATAGAGGGTAGACTGTGCTGTTACTAGAGTATTCTGGGTAATAAAAATGATTGATTGTGGCCAATGGGCCATTAATTTAAACCAAAATATACGGACTGCTTTGGACAGCCAGGACATTTAACAGGAGTCCCCCAGTATCACCAGGATGAGAATGCCCGAGGGGCCGTGCACTGAGATCTTGAGAGGACTGGTGTGGCTTCAGCTTCTGTAGGTCTGTCCCCAGGCAGCAGTTCCTGTCACTCCACTTCAGCCACTTTTGGAGCCCCTGGGTCTGAGTTTTGGGGATGCATGAACTGTGTTGGCCCCCTCCCCTCCCTGGTGTGTTCTGGCTCCCACCATGCTTCCTAAGACCGTTTGGGAAGCCGTCTTCCTCCCACGCCCCGGAGCGACTGTGCGATTCTGGGAGCACAGCCTAGATCAGCCATAACGTTCAGCGTCAGACACACTGCGCAGCAGCCAGAAGACACGCACACAAGGCCTTTAATAGACACGGCGGGGGACGGGCTGCCGGCTCCCCGCGGCTGCGGCCTACCGCGGGAAATTCTTGGGGTACAGCTGGAAGAGTTTGCCCTCCTGCGTGGGCTCAAAGCCGTACTTCTCCAGGCGCTCGGGGTCAAACGTCCCTTTTTTCAAGTCCTGCTCAATGGCAGGGGCCACCACTTGCAGAAAAAGCTGTTTGGCCGTCAGCGGCGTTTCCGCGCCCGCTGGGACGCGGTAACTCACATAGGGCTTGAGTCGGAAGCCGCTCAGATCTGGGACCACCAACTCGGGCACCATCTCCTTTATCACCACGAACTTCCCGCCGGGAGCGCGCACGCCGGTGCCCTTGGCCCCCCGGCCCTTGTAAAAGGTCCGTGGGCCGCGCTTGCTCGTCCACTGGCTCATCCGGTCCGCTCCCCGGACCAGGCCGCGGGTTACTGCGGTCAGGAAACCCATGCCACCGCCTGGGGACGAGACGGGGTCAGTGTCAGCCTGCCGGCGGGTCGGCCCTACCCGTCGGGAGTCTGCACGCGGCCCCCCAGGCAAGCAGCGCTCAAGCAGAGCGCTGTCTCAAGACAATTCTCATAGGCACGTGCGCGGGACTCGGGACAGCCCCGCCTCCAAGGGCATGACACGCTCCCAGCGCGCGGCGCTGGCGGCTTCCCGCGCTCCCAGCTGGGCCCGCGACGGAGCGGCCTCTCGCCCCGGGCCCCGGTACCCCCATGCCGCCGCCCTGGGCCTGCGGCCTCCCACGCCGGCCCCTGCGCCCACTGACCTGGCCCGCACTGCTTCCGGCCCCGCGCCCCCTCACACACCGCAGGCTTCGCGACCGAACCCCAATCGTGCTCCGCTTCCGGCCGACAAGAGCACTGCCCCACTCCGCAGCAAGAGTCGCTCCGATTGGCTGTCGCTGTCGCACCCAATGCGCAGCCTCAGTCCTGCGAGGGGCGGGACCGGCTGGCGACTCGGCCAATGCGTGGGGAAATTCGGGGTCAGGGGGCGGTACCGTTACTGACAGTTGTATGACGTCGGGGACGCGGAAGTCCGGGCGCGGGCGCCGGTCTTGTGAGTGGGAGCCCCTCACGGGCGGGACCGGGGCGGGTCGAAGGGGCAGGTGCCCCCCCCCTTTGCCCCGCTTCACCCCTGGGCGCGTTGGTGAGCCGCCCCAGGATTCTGATTCCGCGGCCCATCTGTGCTCTTTGGGCACTAATCGCCCCCGGCATTCGCTGCCCCAGTCACTCACGCGGGGCTTACTTCGACCCCGTGGCTCCTCTTCTGCCTCGGCGGCAGGCCCTAGTCGGGGGGAACTGCCCCCCAAGGTCCTGCCCCCCACAGTCCTGTCCCCAAGATTCTGCCCCTTGGTGCCCGCAGTCCTTTAGGAGACTAGTCTCAGAGGCGAGGGCGCCACGTGGGCAGCAGGGCGCAGGGTTTCGATCTAGGCTGAGAGCGAGCGCGCAGTCACAAGACACAACTCCCCCCCAGTTTACAGTTCGTTTCTCTGGGGGGATTGTGATGAGACAGCCCTCCCTGTTGCTGCCCCTGCTTGAGGGGCCTGAGGGCCGGAGGGGAAGCCGGCTTGCTGGCAGGGACGCTCGTCGCGTCCAGCTCAGTGACATGGCTGCTGCTGGGACCCTAGGGGGCCCGGGATGAGCAGTGATTTGGGCGGTCACCCTGTTCCTTATCTCCTAACATCAGCACACCATCACACGGCCAGGATTGGACTGCACCGGTCAAGAAAGCAGCAGAAGAGCCTGTATTAACAGCTGCCTTTCCACCCACCAGAACGGTACGCCCCCCAACCCCGCCTTGACCTGCTTGCCAGACCCTGCTGGGAGCCCCGCCCTCCCCCGATCCCCTCGGAGCCCCGCCCTCCCCGGATCCCCTCGGAGCCCCGCCCTCCCCTGACCCCCTTGGAGCCAGGTCAGTGACTTGGCTCCTGTGCGGCCCTCAGTGACCACGTGAGGGCTGTTTACTGAGGAAAGGAACGCTGCGAGTAAGCCAGCTGCTTCTCGTGAGGGCAAGGACTTCACCGGGGCTTCCTTTAGTGGAAACAAAATGTGACGGGCAAGGAACCTGGGGAAGCATTGCTTGTGGAGTGTTTGCCCATTTGCACTTTCCGATCCCATCCCCCTGTTCTGGTTTTAGCCATGGAGGACGACTCGGACACTTGTCCAGAGGTACGTGACCTAGACTTAGTAACAAGTCACATGGTTCTGTTCCCAGTGCGGCTCAGGCCGCAGGCAGGTGCTCACAGCACCCTGGGGGTGGCTGCGCTTCCTCCTGGTCTCGCAGGCTCTCCTCCAACAAGCAATTTGCAAGTCTAGTAGCAGGGGTGCAGGTGTAGTCACAGGCAGCTGGTCCTAAGGATCCTATGAGAATCTAGGGGATTCCTGTAGGTGGGCTCGGAGGGCCTCAGCGTCCTCCATAAGGCACTTCTGTCTGGGCATCTCAGGGCCACTGACTTGTTTCCTGATGCTAGGCTTTTCTTGCTGCCCTGGTCAAGCCTTGAGCTGTGTGTAGGGACGCCAGCAACAGTGACATCACTAGGGAGGGTGCAGGGGCACAGACCACACACCCTGACACTGTAAGAGCTGGTAGCACTAACATGATCCCAGGGTCTGCGGTGGCAGCCAGGCAGCCTACTGCCACCAGGGAACAGGCTGCCAAGGTCACTAGGGTTGGTGTCACTTGTCACCAGTGTGGTAACTTGTCACTGCCATACCCCCTCACCCACCATTCAGGGTTTTGGTAGCTGGGCCAAGGTGCCTGCCCTAGGGTGGAGAGGAAAGTCTCTGCCTTGGCCAGTGAAGAGGGGAGCAACTTTGGGGAGCCATGGGGCATGAGGCAGTGCGCTCAGCCTTGGGGGGTGGGGTCAGCGGAGCAGGCAGGGCCAGCCTGTTCTACCTGTGGAGGGATTTGCTGCATGGCCCTGCCCACCTTGGGGATATGTCACACCATGAGTTACCACACTGGATGACACCAACCCCAGTGATGGCACTGGCCAGAGATGCCACCGCTTGCCCCGTCTCCTTCCTCCTCCCCCTGTGTCTCCCACCCAAACCTGACCCCTGGCTGTGCCTCTGTTCCAGGGAACCTTCTGGCTGGCCTCCATTCTGCACTCCTGGGGGCTGCAGCTCTCAGCTGAGAATTCACAGTCAACTATGGTAAGCTCTTCTTGTGCTTCTGAAGTGGTGGAGGTCTGGGCAGGGCCGATGGACGCGAGTCCTACTGTACCCCTGCCCCACCCGCCTTTCCGTCCTGGCTGGGTGGCCGGTGCCATGCAGCAGCATTGCTGACTCACACCCGACTCGACTTCTCACCCAGCTCATCGGGGTTGTGATCGGGGCTGCCCTGGTCCTTGTTGGTGGAGGCATCTTTCTCGTATACAGAAGGGTAAAACAGGCCCGTGAGTATCAGATTGGCTCTGCCTCTGGGGGAGGGTTTGGTGAGTGGGGTTTCTTGCAGTGGTGTTAAGTTCATGGGGGGAGTCTTGAAGCCCATGGCGGCTTTTGTTGGAAACCAGCATGCCGTCCTGGCTCAGGCTGGGACACCAGGTGGGATGCCGAGTGACCTGAGCCCTGCCCCAGCAAGGAGTGGCGGCTGTCCGCTTGTCTAAGTGGGGACCTGGGTGGCCCGCTGTGGGCCCGTATTCCAGCTGTGGTGCTTGGGAGGGCCGTGTGCCTCAGCAGCCTTGCCACGGCTCATGCTTGCCTCACTCTCTTCCAGGGCAGCTGCAGCCCACCACTCCACAGTATAGGTTCCGCAAGAGGGACAAGGTGATGTTCTATGGCCGGAAGATCATGAGGAAGGTAAGGGGTCTGCCATCTGCTTGTCCTTGTGGCCCATGGACCGCAGGCTCAGGGACACACCACCTCCCTGTCTTACCAGTGCCTGGTACCAGGGAAACTCTGCCCCCTACCCCAGAGACTTCAGACCAAAGCTGGTCCTGGGGGTGCTCCGGGCTGATGGCTCAGTCATGCAGCAAGGGCCCCTAATAGAGGGCTGGGGTGGGAGCCTATGGGGAAGATACCAGAGGGGGTCCAGTGCAGCAGGTCCTGTGGGCCCAGGACCTGGGCTGGCAACGCTGGGCTGGCTTGGAGGGTGTAGACAGACAGGAGAGCGTTCCTTCTACTGCACTTGCTTTTGCGTGGAAAGCGGCATGGGGCACTGTTCTGGTTCCCTAGTGCCGCTCTGACAGGAATTTATCACAAATGGGATGGCCTTAAGAAACAGGACTTTATCCTTACAATTTGGAGGCTTTAAGTCCAAGATCAAAGTGCCAGGCTCTAGGGGCTGGGTGAAAGCCTCTCAACCTTGGGGTCTAGCTCTGCCTCCAGCTCCCGACCTACTGAAGCTAGAGGCGTTTCTTCACTCAGACAGCTGCTGGCTGCTGAGGCTGCCAAGCCCAAGGGTGACAAGTAAAAAGGCACAGTCCTGATGGTGCCAAATCACACAGCAGGCCATTAAGTCCATTGAAAGTCCCAAGGTCGGCAGAGCATGGCAGGCTGCTGAGCAATGCCACAGCTACATGCGGGGTCCAAGCGTGCCATAGGCTAGAGACCATTCCCAAGGCTTCTCCTTATACACAGGAAGCAGACCACATCCCAAAGGCAGCTACTCAGCTGCTTGTGGTAGATCCCACCATGAAGTTGATTGCCAGTCTCATCATAGGGGAATAACTACCACCAGCTGCCCAGCCACTCAACCAGGCTCAGCCAAGTTGACACATAACATAACCACCACAGGCGCCTTCCCAGAAACACCCCTGAGGCAGTGGGTGCCAAGTACCCCTTGCCCTCCCGGGTCTTGGTTCTGGCAGGCACTGAGACTGGGGGTCTCCTCCAGCACTGGCGGCTGAGCTGTTGGAAAGCATGAGCCTGCATGGCAGCCCTCACCTCGGTGTCTCGCTTGCTTGGAGCTGGTCAGTGCAGCTCCTGGTCGGTGAGGGGAGCTCGATAGCCACCTGGCTGGGGCTCAGGAGCCACCTCCTGCTGTTCGTCAGACCTCGTCTCTGGCCAACGGAGGCCATGTGTGGTCGGTAGCACACCGTGCCAAGGTTTTATGGAAACCACACACCACGTGATTTGGAGCGGTGTCTGCACGTTGCTGTCCTCTGATTTCCAAGTCAACGTGTGAACTTGAGAAAACGCGAGCCACCAGAGATCAGAGCATGATCATCATGCCAAAAGCTGGAAAAGGGGCATGAGTCTGGGCTTTGTGGCTGCACACCCTGTCTCCTCTGGGGGCTACGTCTGGGTGCTGGTGCGGGAGGGGCCGGTGGGTGTGACCCTAGGGCATACCCCTGCTGGGGCCTGAGTGATGGTCACTAGGCTCACCCTGTGAAGAGCTGAGTCCATGCCTAGAGGGGCAGGAACGTGTTTCCAGCAGTTCCACCAGCGCGGTGACAATGACAATGACAGTGCTGACCTGTGGAGCGCTTTAAGCCCAGCAGGTGAAGGGCAGTGGGAGGCTGGCTTGCCCAGGGGCCCAGGCCTTCTGTGCCCCCAGCCCTTAGCTCTGGGCATTTGGGTTGGTGTGGACAGCAAAGAGGAGTGGAGGATGGATGGGTTGTGAGAGCCCCCTTGCTGGAGTGGCACAGCACTGGGGGAGTGAGGTGGTGGTTGGTGTAGCAGGTGTTGGGACTCTGGAAAGGGCTATGTGTTGAGGAGTGGAGGTTTGGGGGCAGTGGGAGCCTTTTGGGCAGAAGCAGCTGCAGGCTGTGGTACAGAGCTCTGATGGCACTGGCTGGCTGGGGACGGTGGAGGGCAGTGGTGCTGGGTGCCCCTGAAGGCTGGGCTCTTGCTGTGCCCGAAAACTGGCTGCACTGGTTATCTTGGTGCCTCTCTGCTCTGTAGGTGTCCACCCTCCCCAATACACTTGTGGGGAGCAGTGCTGTACCCCGGCAGCGGGTGAGGAAGAGGACCAAGGTGCTGTCTCTGGCCAGAAGGTACTGGGCCTTGTCACCGAGACCCATGTCTGCCCAGCTGCCCGCCCCTCCCCAAGCTGCTGTGGGTGGGGGATACCCTCTCTGCCTGGGACAGGGACAGGGCTGGTTGCAGAATCCCTGGGGCCCCTAAAGATGGGTGTGTCTACTTTGGAGGATCCTGCGCTTCAAGAGAGAGTACCCCAGCCTACAGCCCAAGGAGCCCCCGCCCTCCCTGCTGGAGGCTGACCTCACCGAGTTCGACGTCAAGAGCTCTCACCTGCCGTCGGAGGTCTTGTACATGCTGAAGAACGTGAGGTGAGAGGTGTGGGGCCTCACTGACCTGTGGGGTGGCGGGGTGGCCATGGGCTGGGTCCTCGTCTCTCCTCCCCTCACTCGAGAGGGTACCCGTGCTCTCCACTCCTTCCAGGGTCCTGGGCCACTTTGAGAAGCCACTGTTCTTGGAGCTCTGCAAGCACATGGTGTTTGTGCAGCTGCGTGAGGGGGAGTACATGTTCCAGCCGGGCGAGCCTGACGACAGCGTGTACGTGGTGCAGGACGGGCGACTGGAGGTCTGCGTCCAGGCCGCGGTAAGGCACCCGGAGAGGGGCTGCTGGGGATGCGGGCTGGCCGTGTGAGGCCTGAGGTCTGCTTCCTCAACAGCAGACCTCGGAGATACAGTGTGTTTGGCTCCAGACGACCACAGTAAAGTGGTCATCTCAGTACAGTGAGTCACACGTGTTTTCTGCTTTCCCAAGGCACATAGGTTATGTTGACGCTCTACTGTAGCGTCTGAAGTGTGCAATAGTGTGATGAAAACGTTTGCAGGATTGTGAAAATAACCAAGGTGAGACACAGACATGGAGTGAACACATGCTGTTGGAAAAATGCCGCTGGCCGGCTCGCTCATTGTGGGGTTGATGCAGACCCTCAGTTTGTAAAGGGTGCGCTCTCTGTGAAGTACATTAAGGGCAGCACAGGACAGTGAGGTCGGCTGGGATTCTTGGTGAGAAAGGCATCCTGATCAGAGCGGTCCAGCACCACTGCCACGTCCATTCCTGTATATTATCTTTCAGTCTCCTGCATAGGGGCACGCCTTGTTAAACAGGCCAAGTGGTCCTATTCATGTGGTTTTATTTCTACATTTTCATCTGATCTTAAATGCCAGGTGTTCCTTGCATACTGCCTTACGTGTGGTCCATTGGGATCACCTGAGCCCTATTTTCAGATTTCTGCTTACAGGTAATTTTGATTCTTAGAAAATACATAAGGTAACAGTTAACTGGAAAGCTGGCTGCCCACCTCGTGCCTCTGTGCCATCTGTCATCTGAACTAAGTGGCTGGTGGTGGCCAGGTCAGCCACTCAGGTCTTTTGGGACGTGCTGCTTCCTAAGAGGCTGTGGTGGCATGTGGGCCCAGCCTCCTGCCGCCTGTTACCAGTTCACAGTGAATTCTCTGGGTCCTGGGCTTTTTCTAACAGTCACTGGTCCCACCACGGTCGCAGACATCAAGCCCAACTGGCATAACATACTACACAAAAACATTGTTCTACATCCTACTCTGACGAGTAGTGACTGTGATTTTTTTTTTAAGTGTTTCATTTTTTTTTTTTTTAATTGTGATTTGGGTGAAAGTTTACAGAGCAAATTCACTTTCCATACAGCAGTTCACATATACTTTGTCTCATGACATTGACTACAATTTACCCCAATGTAACAGCTTCCCTCCCACTTCCTCCCAATAGTTACCTCTTCCCTGTGTCTATCCTTTCATGCACTCCTGCCCCCAGAGCTGTCTCCCTGTGCATACACAGCCCTTCTTTCTCCCATGGTTCTCTCCAAGGAGTTTATCTACCTCAGGTAAATGTTCAACTCATATGCCCAGCGACTGGGATCTTAAAAGCTTATAAGTAGCCATCTAGATGCAACAATGGGTCTCTCTTTGTCCAGAGCAAAGATGGATGAAGAAAACGAAAGACGTGGAAACAATTAGTCCAAGTGACTGGTACACCATCCGATCCTCAGCCTATACGACTATGAGACCAGAAGAACTAGATGGTGCCTGGCTACCACTGTCAACCACTGGATTGGTGTAGGAGATCCTGGATAGAGTGGGAGAACAATGTGGAACAAAACTCAAAATCATTAAAAAAAAAAAAAAAAAAAGACCAGATTTGCTGGTCTGACAGAGCCTGGTGAGACCCATGAGACTATGGCCCCTAGCTACCCTCAAGGTCTGGAATTGAACTCTCTTCTAGGGCTTCCAGCCAAACAATAGACAGGCTTATGGGGTCAGCATTTACATCAGGTGGATACACTCCTTGGAGCAATCAATCATGGGAGAACAGAAGGGCAGTGTTTGTACAGGGAGACAGCTCAGTGGGTGGGAGTGCATGGGAGGGAAGGACACAGGGAAGAGGTAACTAGGAGAAGGAAGTGGGAAGAGTTGTTACATTTTGAGGAATTGCAGTCAATGTCATGAGGCAAAATGTATATGAACTGCTGTATGGAAAATAAATTTGCTCTATAAATTCACCCAAATCACAATTTTAAAAATCACATTTTAAAAAAACCAGTCACATTCCTGGCACGAGTTGTCTCATGTGCCCCACCCTTGTCCTGGGGAGGTTCACGGGTAATGTCTACACTGTCTTTGTGGGTTTCCAAACCAAATGTGTTTTCTGGGTGGAGTTTTTCTTATGTTGCCACTCAGCCCGAGGTTGGACTTGAGGGGATTGGTGAGTAGGTGACTTCATTCAGACTGGAAGACAGGTTGTGACTACTGAGGGGCCGTGCTGCTTCTGGTGGACCTGAGACCCATTCCTATCCAGAAATACTGCAGCCTCCTCTCTCGGCCTTGGAATAGACAGGAGACGTCCATGCAGGCCAACTGGTGCCAAGCATGGACACATTAAAAAATAACTTTCAGAACTTAAGTGGAGATGGGGGTGCTGTGCAAAATCTCCAAAATTGCATGTTTTTCTCTCTCCTTGAGGAGGATCCCAAGGAGTGTTACTTACACCAATGACTAACTTGGTCTCAAGGACCAAGTAAATGAACTGGGTGTTTTGAAACTTAACCCAAATTCATCTGACGAAGGCCCGGTTGTGGGTTGAGATGGTGGTCTGGGCTGGCTGGGTCTCTTCATGCCTGTTAGTGCACCTCATTTTCCTACTTGAATTTCTGTGGAGTCTGGGGAGAGCGTGGCCTTCGCCATCTCCCACTCTTGTTTGCTGGGGCAGCTCAGGGCTTGAGGTGTCTGTATACAGACTTTCAGCTGGGAGGCTCTGCTCTCTGGGGCACCAGGCCAAGCCTTAGCTGCCTTGAGCAGATGGACAGATGGCCCCCTTCTCTCCGCCTGCAGGATGGCACCGAGATGGTGGTGAAGGAGGTCCTGGCAGGGGACAGCATCCACAGCCTCCTCAGTATCCTGGACATCATCACAGTGAGTACCGGCTGGCCCAGTGGCCAGTCCCTCAGACACCCGTGACTCTGTCCTGCTTGGACGATGAGTCCCTTATGGTGACATGGTCCGGCTTGGTCTTGGTGGGCAGGACTCTTGTTCCAGCAGCAGAAGCTAAGAGGTGGATGTGGGGCAGCTTGGACATGTGGGTTGAGTGTGGGGATGAGGGGTGGGCGCTGTAATCAGGGCTGGGACATTCCTGCCCTCCCAGCATCAGCTCTCAGAGGGGGTCAGCAGGGAGACACTTCCTCTTAGTGGGATGGATGTTGGAAAGAAAACGGCATTCCCACTGTGGTTGACTCATTGTCTCGGACAGCTTCATTTTGCCTCAGCAAACATTTGTGTTTTTTTAAAAACTTAAGTCATTATCAAAATACCACAACAAACTCTGAAGGCATGGTTTGATGTTTTGTAAACAGCGGTTGCCTGCCTGACTTCTCCCGCCCCTGAGGGAACCTGCCTTTGACTCCCGGGTGTCCTTTGAGTATCATGCTCCCCTTGCAGTTTCTCAGGCCCTCAGTTGGCTCCCTGCTACGGAAAGTGAAGATGGGGCTCTCCCGACTGCCCAGCACGCCTCTCCCCACTCCCCACCCCCAGCAACGTTGGGTTGGTATTGTTGCCTCTTGGTATGTGTCACTCGCAATGAGCCATGTAGTGTACTAGGGTTGCGTTTCCTTGTCGATTTTTTGTTTTACCAGAACTAACAGTTGTCTCATTTTTTTGTTTATCACGAATTTGCACCTGACTGCTGGAAGAAATCTCTCTTAACAGTCAGACCAATGCTGCTGTTGTCGTTAGGTGCTGTTGAGTTGGCTCCGACTCATGGCAACCCCGTGTGCAACAGAACAGAACACTGCCTGGTCCTGAATCATCCCCACAATCCCTGCCATGCTTGAAACCATTGTTGCAGCCACTGTATCAGGCCGTCTCATCAAGGCTCTCCCCTTTCTCGCTGACCCCCACTTTACCAAGCATGATATCCTTCTTCAGGGACTGGTCCCTTCTTATAACATGACCAAAGTGGTGGTGGTGTTGTTAGGTACCGTTGAGTTGACCCCGACCCATAGCAACCCCTCTTGGGTTTCCGAGGCAGTATCACTATGGAAGTAGATTGCCCAACCTTCCTTCTGATGACCAAAGTAGGTGAGATGAATTCTTGCCATTCTGCCTTCCAAGGAACATTCTGGCTGCACTTCTTCCAGGACAGATTTGTTCATTCTTCTGGCGGTCCATGGTACTTTCAGTATTCTTTGCCAACACCACAATTCAAAGGCATCAACTCTGCAGTCTTCCTTATTCATTGTCCAGTCTTCATATGCATATGAAGTGACTAAAAATACCATGGCTTGGATCAGTGCACCTTAGTCTTCAAAGTGACATCTTTGCTCCTCAGCACTTTAAAAAGGTCTTTTGCAGAACATTTGCCCAGTGCAGTGCAATGTCTGATTTCTTGACTGCTATTTCCGTAAGTGTTGGTTATGGATCTCAGTAAAGTGAAATCCCTGACCACTTCAGTCTTCTCTCCATCCATTGTGATGTTGCTTATTGGTCAAATCCATGCTACGTGTTGGTTATTCTCTCCTGGAAAAACCCCTCTCAGAACTTGCCTTCCTTTCATCCCAATCTGCCCTCCCGCAGAACTGCCTACCATCTCTCTCATCCTGGGTGTCTCCTGCCCACCACCTTGAGGAATCTTTCTGCTGTCTCTGGTTTTTTCTTACTATCCTTGCTTATTTAAGGGTGGAGCAAATCTTCTGTTAGTTTCCTGAGAAAGGGTGTAAGGTGTAAGGGAGATACATTTTTTAGAACCTTAGAAATCTAAAATTATGTTTATTTTAGATTATCTAACTTAAAATGCTTCTATTAGAAAAGAAAAAAGGTCTCAAATCAATGACTGAAACTTCTATTTTAAAAAAATACATATTTCATTGTTTTTTTGGTGAAGATTTATACAGCAGTTTAGACTCACTCTGTTTCCACACAAGTTGTTCAGTGACATTGGTGACACTCTTCCCAATGTTGAACCCTGTTACTTCCATTCTGCTTGCTCTGTTTCCGTTAATCTAGCTTCCCTGGCTCCTTATATTCTCATCTTTGTTTTAAAGTAATTGTATATCAGCAATGTTTTTCAAAAGAGCACGGTACTCACAGGTGATATTGACTATTTCTGGAGCCACTTTGTTTTTTAGCTACAAAGTGAGCTCAGGGATTAGTGTTGTTTCAAGGTTTGAAGAGCTCTTGGGTCGGCAGTTTCAGGAAGTCCTCCAATTTCAACCAGTCCAGCAGGCCAGCAGGTCTGGTGGTGGTGTTTTTTTTTGTTTTGTTTTGTTTTTTTACTTCTTCAGGAATTTGAGGTTCTGTTCCACATTTTTCTCCCATTCTCTCAGGGTACATCTATTGGGGCCCTGATGAGAATGGGCGGTAGTGGTAGCTGGCACCATCTCATTCTTCTGTTGAGGGTAGATGAGGTCGTGGTTCATGTAGACTATTTGACCTATTTAAAGTTTCTTTAAACTTCTATTTTAAGAAAGTAGGAAAGGAAGATCAAATTAAATCCCAAGCAAAACTGAACCAAAAACCAAACTCATTGCTGTTGAGTCAGACCCAACTCATAGCGACCACTCCTTGGTTTTCCGAGGTGGTATCACTATGGAAGTAGATTGCCCAGCCTTCCTTCCGAGGAGTGGCTGGTGGGTTTGAACTGCCAGCCTTCTGGTTAGCAGTCAAATGCCTTAGGCACTATGCCATCAGAGCTCCCAACAGTGAAGAAAAAGAGAAAACACAAACTACCAATATGAATAGAATGAAAGAGGCCCTACAGACATAAAAAAGACTGCTCAGGGAATATTACAGATAACTTGATGCCTAAAAATCAACAACTTCAATGAACAAATCCCTCGAAACACAAATAATCAATATCAATAGAATGAAGGAGGGAACGTTTCTACAGACATAAAAAGACTACCCAGAGAATATTACAAATAACTTGATGTCTGAAAATCAGCATCTTCAATGAACAAATTCCTCAAAACACGAATTACCAAAGTTTTCTGAAGAAGAAACAGAGTATCTGAATAGTTCTATATCTATGAAAGAAATAACCCGGGGGCCACAGTCTTTCCCACCAATTTCCTCTAGGTTTCAGTGCTTTCACTGGGAATTCTATCTAACATTAAATGAAGAAAAGATGCCATTTTACGCAAACTCACTGCCGTCAAGCCAGACCCGACTCATAACGACCCCTCCTTGGGTTTCTAAGGCAGTATCTCTATGGAAGTAGATTGCCTAATCTTCCTTCTGAGGAGTGGCTGGTGAGTTTGAATCACTAGCCTTCTGGTTACCAGTCAAATGCCTTAGGCATTACTCTACCAGCGCTCCTATTTTACACAAACTTCCGGAAAACTAAAGAGGAGGGAATACTTCCCCACTCAGTTTTTTAAGATTTATCTTGATTTTTGTATATAGACTTTAGTTTTCAGGACAGTTTCTGATCACCATTCCCCCCTGTATGTTATTTGCCCTTTTAGCCCAATTCAGTTTTGAAGCCAACATTACCTTGATACAAAATCGGACAAAGGCATAAGATTCCAGATCAGCATCTCATGAACAGAGATGCAGAGATACTCAAAACAATAGTAGAAATTTGAATTCAGTAATACAAAAAAAAAGAAAACACAATCAAGTCAGGTTTATTCCTGGAATGCAAGGTTGGCTCAATATCAGGGAGTCAGTCAATGCAGTTCATTGTAACAATAGACTAAAGAAGAAAAACTCTCAGTCCCATTTCACAGTAACAATATCCATGAGCTCTGACTGTTTCTTCTAAGACAGATTGTGTGCTCACCTCAATAGCTGAAAAGGCATTTGGAAAAATTCAGCAGCCGTTCATGATTTACAGAAAAATCTCAGCAAACTAGGGAGAGAACTTCAATAAGGGGCATCTGAACTCAGAGTTGACATCACACCTAATGACAGAAGACTGATTGCACGCCCTTCAAGACAGAGAACAAGGTCAGCATGTCTATTCTCACCAATCCCATTCAGCATCGTATTGGAGGGTCTTGCCAGGGCAATAAAGGAAGAAGAAGAGGGAGAAACCATGCAGATTGAAAAGGAAAAATCAGGTGTCTTTATCTGTGACCATGATTGTCTACATAGAAAATCCTATGGACTCAAAAATCTACTAGAACTCACTGGTAGTTTAACAAGATTGCAAGGATTCAAGGTCAATATGTAAAAACTAATTGTATTCCTATGTACTAGCAATGGAAAATTGGACAGTGAAATTGAAAAAAAGTATTAGCATTTACATTAGTGCCAAAAACATGAAATCTAATGAAATACCTGCAGAATCTCTATCTGAAAACTTCACTTCACTCGTGAAGAAATCAAAGAAGACCTAACTTAGAGATTCACTGTTTTCTTGCATTGGAAGACGCATTATCGTTGAGGTGGTAGTTCTTCCCAAATTATCCAACTTAATTCCAATAAAAAATTCCAGCAAGCTTTTTCCTACAGATAGAGAACCTGGCTATGAAACTATATAGATAAGCAAAGGAACCAGATAGCTGAAAGTGAGTGACTCTCACTATATTATTTCAAGACTACCCCCAAGCCTAATCAAAACCATGAGGAGTTGGTATAATGTTGATGGCTGTTCTTTGCCATCACACAGCAACCCCATGTCCCCCAGCACAAAACACTGCCTGGTCCTGCACCTGCTCACAGTTGCTGCCACATTTGAGCCCATCATCACAGCCACTGTGTCTCGTTGAGGGTCTTCCCTCTACTTTTTGTTGCTGACCTTCTTCTTCTCCCAGCATGATATCCTTCTCCAGGGACTGGTCCCTCCAGATAACATGACCAAAGGATGTGAGGTGAAGTTTGGCCATTCTTATTTCCAAGGAGCATTCTGACTATTTCTTCTAAGACAGATTTGTGCATTCTTCTGGCTTGTTGTTGTTGTTGTTGTTGTTATTCTGGCAGTCCATGGTATACTCAGTATTCTTTGCCAATACCACAATTCAAATGCATCAGTTTGTCTGGGGTCTTCCTTATTCATTGTCCAGGTCTCACATGCATATGAGGCAATTGAAGATACTGTGGCTTGAGTCAGGGACACCTTAGTCTTCAAAGTGACATCTTTGCTCTTTAGCACTTTAAAGAGGTCTTTTGCAGCAGATTTGCCCGATGTGACACATCATTTGATTTCTTGACTGCTACTTTCATGGTGTTGATCAATGCCCTTGATGTAATGGTGGACACTTGGAAAGAGACTTGTGTGTAGGGCATCAGCTGGTCTCTGACAGAGGTGCAAAGGCAGTTCACTGGGGGAAGGATTTCGTTGTTATAGATGGCACTGGGACAATGGGATGACCATGTGGGAAGGAGGGCTTACTCCACGCCTCAGTCAAAATGGGTCACGGGCCTAACTATAGACCTAAAGGTGTACAACTTTTAGAATGATGTATCAAAGAAGAAAGTCCGTTGCCTTGCGGAAGTTCGTTATCTGTGATTCCAAAGGGATGAAATGGGGAAATTGATACAGGCAATGAAAACTTCTCTGTGAGGGACACTATTAAAGAGATGAAAAGTCAAGCCACAGGTGGGCTCTATCAGAATAGACAACCAAAACCAAACCAAACTCAGCGCCGTGGAGTCAGACCCAATTCATAGCTACCCCACCTTGGGTTTCCGAGGTGGTATTTCTATGGAAGTAGATTGCCCACCCTTCCTTCTGAGGATCAAAATAGACAAAGAACTATCCAAACTCCATCATGAAACAGAACTTGGTAACGCTAGGTGGACATCTTAGGAGAGACTTAATATCTGTCGACATCATATCTCCTGTCTCGCTGACACCAACCAGTTCCCAGGAGGAGATGGAGGCCAAAGCAGACTACTGGGAACGTGGGGCGCTGTCATTGGGCACCCATGGGGCATAGCAGCCTGTCCTCCACGGTGTCCCACACTTGTCCTGGCTCTACCCACGCTTGTCCATCTGAGGAGGCAGCTGAGATGGGCCCTGGAGTCTTGGGGCCTGTTGGGGAAGCTCTGCTGGTGCAGCCTTGCCCTTGGGGTGCTGGGGTGGAGGTGCAGGGATGTGTGACTTGGTGTATCTGACGAAGCCATCTGCCTAGAACTAGGGGAAGGTGTGGTGTGCTCCCAGGTGGTGGGCAGAGGGCACGGGAGGACACCAGGCAGGCCCATGGGTGACTGACGGGGGCTCTTGTCACAGGGCCACCCTGCCCCATACAAGACGGTCTCAGCACGTGCGGCCATCCCCTCCACCATCCTCCGACTGCCGGCCGAGGCTCTGCAAGGCGTGTTCGAGAAGTACCCTGAGACCCTCGTGCGGGTGGTGCAGGTGGGTGCTCCAGGCCACTTTTGCCAGCTTCAGCTTGGGCTCAGGCAGCTGGGCTCCCTTTGATTAGCTCTGCCCACCCACCAGTGGCTTGGTGGGTTTTGATGTCAGTTCTGTAGTTGGCAGCTCCATGGAGCTGGACCCGCCTAGTCTGGGGGCCACGGGAGCAGCCAGGCTGTTTGTTTTTAACTCTCAGTCCCATTTTACAGTAACAATATCCATGAGCTCAGAGAGCTATTCAGGTCCCCCACTCCTTCAGAGTGCTTTTTATGAAGCCTTTTCTTTTGAGGTGGTTTTAGATCGACAGACACTTGTATTGAAGTAGCCAGGGCTCCTGTGCCCTTCTCCCAGTATTGGCATCAGCTGCCTGAGGGGTAGTGGTGTGCTCAGGGTCTGTGGTCCAGAGTGTGACGGGCAGCCGACCCCCGAGCGAGTCAGCAGTAAGGGTGCTGGCTGGCAGTGCCACGGCCTCCTTTGTAGATCATCATGGTGCGCCTGCAGCGGGTGACCTTCATGGCTCTGCATGACTATTTGGGCCTGACCACGGAGCTCTTCAATCCCGTAAGTGCCACAGCCATCCTGACGGTCCTCCGGGAGCGTATGGTTCTGGGGAATGCGTCACACCACCTTTCCCCTGTGCCCAAAGCAGATGCCATTCAGATGTTGGCATGCTTGCTTCTCCTCCTGTAGTTGAGTTTTGGGGAAAGTGGAACTCCTGCTCAGATGTGACAGATTGTCCCCCCGGTATGTCACTGTGCTGGGTGGGATGGCCTCGTCGTGTGTTGGCCCCTTTCACGTGCTGAGAGCACCAACCGCCCCAGTTCCCACCTGCTGGGTGCAGGTTGTTGCCACATCTGGACAGACTTCTCCCACGCCTCCACCCTCTGCCCCCCACCCAGCATCTGGTCCCTGTGTCCTGCCTGGACTCTTCCCCTCAGGCTTTCTGGGCAGGACCAAGTGAGCACCAACATGGCTGATTGCCGGTGGTGCTATGGTCTGCTTGGGAGAGGTGCAGACTGTGGGTGGTCTGGGCCAGACCTCCCAGAGCCTGGCCCTCAGCCTCTCAGCCAGTGACCAGGAATCGTGCCAGCAGAGCTGCTACCCAGAGCAGGCCTGTGTCACTGGGGTTTCCTTTGGTGGCTGGTCCACTCTGGCTATGTCCCCATCATGGGCAGTGTGGCGTCCAGGTCCTGGAGGGATTCCCTGCACCTCAAGCCAGAACCTGGGCCTGCTGACACCCCTCTCATGTCTCAGGAGAGTCAGGCCATCCCTCTCGTGTCTGTGGCCAGCGTGGCCAAGAGGCAGATGTCAGTGGGCCTGGATGGGCGCCTCGAGAAGCCTCTGAGACCCCAGGAGGGCTCTGACCCAGGTATTGCCCCAGGGCCTAGAGGCTAGGTGATCTTCATCCCAGTGACCTCTGCTCCTCTGACCTCCACCTTAGTGATCTCTAGTTTCTGTGACCTCCACCCCAGTAACCCCTGTCCCAGTGATCTCAGCCCCAGTGACCTCTACCCCAGTGACCTCTGGCCCTGTGACTTCTGCCCCATGACCCCCAGTGACCTCTGCCACAGTGATCTCCAGCCCCAGTGACCTCCACCATTGTGACCTCTCCCCATGTTCTCCAGTCCAGTGACCTCTCCCTCAGTGACCTCTGCCCTGTGACCCCCACCCCAGTGACCGCCTTAGTAACCTCCAGCCTCTGTGACCTCACCCCAGTAACCCCCACCCCTGTGACCTCTGCTCTGTGACCTCCAGCCCAATGACCTCTGCCTCAGTGACTTATGTCCACCCCTGTGCCTCTACCCATCACCCCCATGCCAGTGACCTCCGCCTTAGTGACCTCCAGCCTCTGTGACCTCCAGCCCAGTGACTTCTGTCCCAGTGACCTCCATCCTTTCAACCTCCACCCCACTGATCCCACCCGAGTGACCTCTGCTCCAGTGACCTCAGCCCCAATGACCTCCAGCCCCAGTGACCTCTGCCTCAGTGACATCTACCCCACTGACCTCTGCTCTAGTGACCTCTGCCCATGACCTCCACCCCTGTGATCTCTGTCCTAGTAACCTCCAGCCTTGTGACCTCACCCCAGTAACCCCCAACCCAGTGACCTCTGCCCCAGTGACCTCCACCCCAGTGACCTCTGCCTTAATGACCTCTGGTCTCTGTGACCTCCATCCCAATGACCTCTGCCTCTGTGACCTCCACCCCTGTAACTTCTGCCCCATGACCTCCACCCTGGTGATCCCACACCGGTGACTTCTGCTTCAGTGACCTCTGCCCCAATGACTACCAGCCCCAGTGACCTTTGAGTGACCTCCAGCCCCAGTGACCTCTACCCCTGTGACCTCTGCCTCAGTGACTTCCATCCCAGTGACCTTTGCCGCTGTAATCTCTGCCCTCTGACTTCTGCCCCATGACCTCCACCCTGTGACCTCTGCCTCAGTGATCTCTACCTCTGTGACCTCTACCCTGTGAACTCCAGCCCAGTGACCTCCGCCTCAGTGACTTCCGTCCCAGTGACCTCTGCCCCGTGATCTCTGCCCTGTGACTTCCATCCCAGTGACCTCTACCCCATGACCTCCGTCCTGTGACCTCCCTGCTCCAGTGACTCCCCCACCCAGTGATCTCTGCCCCATGACCTCTGCTCCAGTGACCTCCACCCATATGTGACCTCTGCCCCGTGACCTCTACCTCAGTGACCTCTGCCTCAGTGAATTCCGCTTCAGTAACCTCTGCCCCTGTGACCTCAGCCCCGGGTGACTTTAGCCCTGGGTGATCTTAACTGGCCCCCACAGGCCAAGGAGTTAGGAAGCTTCGAGCTCATGTGTGGGGTGATCGTGAGGTAAGGGTGGCACAGCTCCCAAGCGGCTGTGGTTTCTTGGAGAATATACTTTAGGGTGCATGTCCTGGGGCTCTCTTGCCTGGGCTTCTAGTTTCTGGGGCCGCAATGGGGCGGTGCTCCAGCAGACCAGCAGCTCAGGTCAGTCCCACTCCCATAGGTGCTGAGAGGCAAGGTGTGGAGAGGGCAGGGCCTGTTAGAAGGTTCCTTTTACCCACAGATGTGCTTTGGTCCATCCAGGGGCACTCTGAGGCTCTCAGCTCTGGGACAGAGGGCTAAGGAAGGGCCACGGGGGTGGGAGGGGCCGTGAGGTGGGCAGTGCCATGGGCCAGGCTGGGTGGGGTGCAGACTTTGTCTGTCTGAGGATAGCAGTGTGTGTGGAGTGCCAAGGCCGGGCAGGTGCAGATGCAACAACCCTGTTGGGTGGATCTGCTCTCCCTACCCCCTAGGAACTGTGCCCGCATGCCAGAGTAGCCTACTCACCCTATGACCTCCCATAGATGGAGGGGGTGCCCGCGTAAGTGGCTCGGGCCCCCAGCTACAGAGAAGCATGTCTGTCCCGTTGCCATCTGTCCACAAGGAAGTTGAGATCCTGCTCCCAGTCACGGAGGAGCTCCTGAAGGCCCCGGTTGGCAGCCCTGGCCCTGCGGCCCCACCAGGTACAGTCCCTCTCCGTGTGGTCTGTGATGCAGCTCCGTTCTCCAGGCAACCACAGAGGCCACTCCAACACTTTGTGTTTTGTGCATGGACAGGACCCCAGGGCCCAGAGGAATAGCCCTGCATGCGTGTCTGGACCCCTTCCTCCCCTACATGGTTTGTGCTCCAGGGGTCCCCACTGTCTCAAAGGTGATGCCCGTGTCCCATCACTGCTGTTACAGCAAGCCCCTCCTCCAGTGTTTGGATCCCCACCTGTAGGGCCAGACCACCAGCATGCTCACTGCTAGAGCCCACCAGGCCCTGGGCCCCATCCTTTAGCCACTGCGTGTCTCTCCTGCTCTCCAAGTAGAGCTTGGCCATGATGGTCCCCATGGCCCCACCTCCTACTTCATCCACTGTCCCACTTGCCACTCACTTTCCGTGTGGCTGGTCTCCTCCTTAGAAAGCTCTTGGTCCAGTGCGTGTCTTGGATCACTGGCGTTTGAGCGCTGCCTGGGCCCCTCTGTAAGAGTCGTGTCTTCTTGTCCTTTGTGCTTTACCCCATGCCCTCTGGACAGAGCCACACATCAGTTCTCACCACAGCAAGTCTCCTTCCAGGCTCCACCCATCTGAGACTGGCATGGACTGCCACTGAGAAGTCCTCCATCTGATTTATGAAACCGTCATTTGTCCCTTGGGGTTGGTATTTGGAGTCTTGCTCTGTTACTGCCTCACCCCCAGGTCCAGATGCTTCCTGGGGTCTTTGTCTAGTTTCACCTTTCCCAGTAATTCATTTGCTCTTCCCTGTTGAACATGGTGTGAAGTAAGGGATCCAGCATTTTCTCTCTATGTAGTGAGTCAGGAGCCCTGGTGGCACAGTGATTAAAGCATTAGGCTGCTAACCAAAAGGTTGGAGCTTCAAACCCGCTAGCTGTTCCATAGGAAAAAGAGGAGGCACTCTGTTCCCAGAAAGATGACAGCCTGGGAGACCCTATGGAGCAGTTCCACTCTGTCCTCTAGGGGCGCTGTGGGTCAGAATTGACTCTATGGAAGTGGGTGTGGTTTGGGCTTTGCTTCTGGGAAGATTGACAGCCTTGGAGACCTTGTGGTGCAGTTCCACTTTGTCCTCTAGGGGCACTGTGAGTCAGAATCAACTTGATGGTAGTGGGTTGGATTTGGTTTGATGTAGTGAGTTTTCCCACCTAGCTGGGCCCACTTACCAATTTGTCCCCACTGTGCACCATGGTTCTGCTTGCTCCAAACCCACACCATTTAGTGTGGAGGCCACCAGCCACCTGACCTGTTTACATTGGTAGTTTAATTACAGTTAAATGAAGTAAGGAAGCTGCTCCCAGGCACCCCTGCCACACAAGGTGGTGACTGCCACTGGGCAACCAGGTCACAGATGCCCCCTTCCACCAGGTTGTGCCCTGGGCTTGAGTGTTACAGTGTGTGATTGGGGTGAGGTGCCAGTTGGAGCACTGTGCTTAGAAACGATAGATTCAGTGACTTTTCTCAAGCGAAATCAGCTTGACATGTATGACTGCAAAGATTACAACGCACACGTCACAAGCTGAACATGCTTGGTCTAGTTCATACTAATTAAGACATAGAGAAAATACCATTAGCTGTTTAAATGTGGCAGACTTCATCAGCATGATACGGAACTAGCTGCGTGGATGTAACTGTTCTAGAAATATCGCCTTCAAGATGCTTCTGGAGCTTGGTTCTGGCATTTCTGCTGGAAGTCACTGTGGGGCTGTGTCTGGAAGGGCTGGGAGGGCAGGTGGCCCTGAAACGGTACCACAGTAGGGGCTCCTCCCACCCTTCTCTGCTTTGATGGGAGCTGGAAGCTGAGAGCCACTGCTTAGTTCTCCAGTGCTGCTGTGGCAGAAACACCACAAGGGGGTGGCTGTAACAAACAGAAACTGATTCTCTCACAGCTGAGGAGGCGAAATTCAGGGCTCTAAGGGAAGGCTGGCTCTCATTGGCTCCCGCTCTCTGTCTCCCTCCCGGTGTCTCTCTTTCTCTCTGCTCTGGAGAGCAGCTTCTGCAGCCTGGTCCCTTGGAGATGTCCATGTGGCTGGGCATCTCTGTCCCCTCACCTCAGCTCCTCTCACTTGTTTGTTTAATCTCTTTTATTTTCAAAAGAGACTGATCCTGCCTCATTAACATGACAGAGACAGCCCTTCCCAAAAGGGATTGTAACCTCAGGTACAGAGGTTAGGATTCACCCCAGGTATTTTGGGGGACACAGTTCAGTGCATAACACCCAGGTCCAGTTAGTGGCCCAGAAGCTGCCTGCTCATCTCGGCCTGGCCCTCCTGATGGCGGCTCTTAGCAGCAGTGGCCTGGAATGTGTGTGCTGCAAGCATCTGGCCCCAGGAGACTGTTAGGGGCCACAGGGCCCTTAGCACCAGCATCTTGTGCTTGCTTGGAGCTGATTGAGCGCACCCCCCTGCGTGGTCTTTATGATTCCACAGCCTGTTGTCCTGAAGTGCAGGGTGTGGTCGTGATGATGCTGGATGGACAGACCAAGGGGCAGCCCTTTCCTGTGCCTGTGGGAGGCCAGACCACTGGGGAAGTCCCCTCTGGCCCTCGTCGCAGGGCGGGCTTCAGATGGCACCAGAGTTCAGTGACAGCTTTGTGAACACCGACAGTGCACATGCCCAGTGGCTGGCAGCCATCCAGGAGGCCTGGTCTTGCCTCTGGCTGCCCCGCCGTCTGGTCCCTGTGGTGGGCACACGGACGGACGCCCTTCTGTGCACATTTCACAAGGCGCCATGTCGAACACTTGTCTGTATCTGAACTCGCTGCTCCACCCACGCCTCTTTTCATCATCCCCTTGTGCTGTGCAGACCTTGCGTGGTTGGAGCCACCTGGGAGACAGGCATCTGAGTCCTCCCTTCCAAAGGGCAACCCTGGGGCACCAGAGGCTGTTGGGTACATGGGTAGTGGTCAGGCGTCCTGGGCCAACCCTGGGGAGCCAATCCCAGAGCACACACCTTCCTCTGAGTTGACACCCCTGGCTGGCACTGGAAAACCAGCGGTGGCCCCATGAGGTGTGGCAGCAGCAGGGTCCCCTCAGTTGTCTGGAGTGGGTGTGGGTGTCCTGAGAGTCCCTTCCTCTCCCAGGCAGCACAGTGGGGGCCTACTCAGACCTGCAGGTGTCCTATGACTGTGCCCGGGCCGTGTCGACTACAGATGAGCACGTTGGGAGCTCTGTGACTGGCAAGGTGGGTCCCACCCCCCCTCCAGGTATGAGAGGCCAGCCCTCCCCAGGGGCTGTGTCCTCAGACCTCTTAGACCCTCCTTTCTCACATCGGTGTCTTATTCTTCTCAAGTCTAAGAAGAGTGTGATGGTGTCTGAGACCCCATCTGCAGTCTTCCACTACTCAGAGAGCCACTCTGACGAGGGTGTGGCCAGCAGGAAGACGGACGCCATCTTCAGAGCTGCCAAGAAGGACCTGCTCACACTGATGAAACTGGATGTGAGTGTGCATGGGGCGATGGGGGAGAGTTGGAAGGCGGCCATAGGCAGGGGGCCTTCTGCTGTTACTTGCTTTCCTGTCTCCTGGATCCCTTCTGTGCAACTCTGGCCTGACCTCTGCCCGTATTTGGGCCATCTTTTACTTTGTGATCCTGGGGCCATCCGTGTCCTGCGGGTCTGAGCCCTGTGCCTGCTTAGTGGCATATGCCAGGCAGAAGCTCCTAGACAGTGAGACTCACCCATCTTGTCTTTGATGGCTTCTTGCGCTGGAATGAGAGTGCCCTCGTCAGCTGTGGGCCACATTAAGCTTCCTGTTAAGCCCACTGCTCCCTGCCTGCACCTGTGGTCCGTGACCACAAGGCTCCTGCCTCTATTGGCCTGGTCACCACCCGTGTGCCTCCTTTGACACACATTCTTGCTGCTCCTGGCCAACTGTCTCACCAACATTGTGCTTCCGTTTCCTCAGGATCCCTCTCTGTTGGACGGTCGGGTGACGTTTCTCCATGTACCAGCGGGCACTATGGTGTCAAGGCAGGGGGACCAGGTGAGTCTGTGGCAGGGTACAGATGAAAAATGAATTTGATTTTCACACGCGAATCTGGCTTCTGATCTGTTGGCAGAAACGGTGGCCGTGGCCTCTGCTTCTGGGGCCAGTGTCGTTGGTGCCAGTCTGCCAGGACTTCTGCTCCCCGTCTAGCCCCAAGCCGGACCCATTGTAGGTTCCGCATCCCACTGCTGGCCCCTTTGGTGCAGTAAGAGAAGTGGGCAGGGCAGGGTGAGTAGAGGCCGTGGGACTGGCAGTGCAGAGCATGGCCACATGAGAAAGGGTACTGCATCAGGACCTGACTTGAGGGGATAATGCAGATGACGAACAGCTCACCTGCTGGGAGGTGGGGTTGGATGTGTGCTGCTCTCCAGCCTCTCTACCAGCTGACACCAGCCACCTCGCCCATGACACCCTGCTTCTCTGCCAAGTTGGGTAATCTGTTGTGGTGGCCACACAGACCATACTTAGAGCTCAGTGGTTTGTTAAGGAAGCAACAGGTTACACCTTGGGGTCAGGAAGTGCATAGGCCCGGTCTGGAAGGCTCCGCCAAGGTGGGACATGCATCCCTACTTCAGTACAGGACAGCTCCCAGCTCCTCACGGCTGAGCGAGCCAGCAGGCCCTTCTGTCTGCCACGCACGCTTCCTCTCGCCCCAGGACAGGCCTCTGCCTCCGGCCTCTTTGCTGTCGCCCTGTCCACTGCCGACTGACCCGGCTCACAGCCAGTTGGCAGCTTTGTCAGCTCTCTCAGCTGCATTCCCAGCAGCAGGTTTCTGTCGGCAGCACCAACTGCTGGAAACCCTTCCAGGCCTGTCACTGCCTCCCACGGGATAGCTCTTTGAGGAGGTTCCGGGCCTCCTCTCTGCTTCGGCTCTCTTCCTGCCTCTCTGGTGTTTCACCATTCTTGCTTCTGTGGGGTTGGCTGCATGTATAAGCAAACTCTTTGTAAATTTCAAGACACGGCCCCTCCCACCAGGGCCCGGGCCAGACCAATCCCCTGCCGGTAGGCCACACACACTTCATTTACATAAGCATGCTGAAGTTGCTTTATTCACATCAGTATTGACCAATCCCAGCAAGGTGCATAAAATAGACCAGTTACAGGGCAGGCTGCAGCCCAAGGCCAGACAAAAAGTACCACACATGTTACCCCGGAAACGGAAACGTCAGTGAATTCGGACAAAAGTAACCAACCCTCTGGAGCAGATAAGGGGCGGGGGTAACTCGCACTGTTTCTCTAAATCAAGGCAAAAGGCCACCTAAGGAGACTCATTTCACCACGTGCCATCTACCTGTAGGTGTGTGTGGGGCGCAGGTGGTGGCGTCCTCCAGGGGAGAGCCGAGGGCAGGAGTGGGCAGGAGGCCCTGTGCCCGCTGCCGGTCTGTGCCCAGCTCCCTGCTCTTCTGTTGCCCCTGGCAGTATGCGTGCTCAGGAGGTCCTCTGGGAGGCTGGGGGCGGGACAAGGCTTGCTCGCCCCTCTCCCCTCGGCGGTGGCACTGTCAGTCATCCCAGTCTCCTGTGAGGCCCTGGCTCAGGGGTCTGGTTGCACCAGGGAGGTCCCTCCAGCCCTGGGAGGCTCCTGAGCACCATTTACTCCAGACAACAACCAAAGCTTGGGTGAAAACAGTGGAGGTCTAGGTGCTTCTCACTGGGCTTCCCTCGTCTGGCAGCTGGGACCAGCAAGATCCAGAACATTCCATCACCTCAAGGATCCCTGGAACGGGCTTTCACAGCCACAGCCACTTCCCGACTCAACACCGGCAGCACCAGTCTGTTCTCCATCTCTGTGTCATTTCACAAGTGTCCTGTGAATGTTACGTGGAATCGCTCAGCCATCTTGGGGATGGCTTTGCCATCAGCATAAGTCTTTGAAGACAACTCAGTTTTCAAGGGGCCAAGATATTTCACTATTCAAATTTTTCCAAACATTTCACCAAAAAAGTTAGAGGATGACTATAATCAAAAAGGGAAACAGTACCCATGGTGGATGAGGATGTGGAGAGATGGGTCCTTGGATATTGTTGGGAGGACATACGGTGAGCAGCCGCTGTGAGAAACAGGTTCTTAAGAAGTTACACATAAGTTTATCAGACAACACAGCAAATCCTCTGCTGGGATCCACCTGAGAGAAACGGAATCACGCAGGAGGGCACGCACGTGGGTGTTTCTAGCAGCAGCTTTACAACACTGGAAAGAACCCAAGTGTCCACCAGCAGCCAGGGCATAGAGGCGGTGGTCCACATGGTAGAACGGTGTCCACCAGCAGCCAGGGCATAGAGGCGGTGGTCCACGTGGTGGAACGGTGTCCGCCAGCAGCCAGGGCATAGAGGCGGTGGTCCACGTGGTGGAACGGT